AACCTTACTGTCTTGTACAAGTCAACAACAAGTGCGTTTGATTATTTTGTACAAGTTTGTGCAACTGTTTCTTTTCTAGTTGCATTGTACAGTTGTATTTCTCACTTGAAAGAAGTTTACTTTTTACTTTTTTTTAAAAGCACTTCTAAAAACAAAAACAAGAAAATATGATTAGGCATGCTCCCTCTCTGTCCTGTATTGCACAAGCCTCGGGCTCACAGTGCACAGTGGCAGACAGATGCATGCACTCCATAAATATTGACAGGTTTGATGTACTCAGCGAGTGGAAAGTATGGGGAAATTGGAGTTTCAGTTGTCTACCCCCAGGCCCATGACTGTAATGGAAAGATTAAAAGCTGTGACCACCCAGTGCCAAAATACCATTCCTCCCTGCCTCCCTGTTTATTCTCATCACCACCCTTTCTGCTTTCTATTACTAACATCAAATACATTACAGGGGATTCACTAATTTAAAGACCTGAGCAAAAGCTCTGCCATGTATTTCTGGATCCTCCAAGAATAACACAACTTCAGCGACTGCGCTTGAGGCACCAGAGGGATCTAATTGAAGTAAGTTACCTTTGTTGTAGTAGAGCGGCCAGTGAGTGAGAAGCTTAGTAGGTCAGCTCTGTGTTGTCTTTACCCTGTGTACCACTCAGCTGGGATCACACACTTTTATCTGTTGAACAGGGACGTGCTGCACAGAGACGCTCCTGTCCACCATGTCTCTCAGGCTCCTGCCTGCGATTATTATGGACAATGACGAGGACGACGATGGGAACTTTACAAAATGGATGAGCAGTTACTGGGGTCACGGAGCAGAGGGTGGACACTCCAGAGAAAGAAAACACAGCTTCAGAAGACCTGGAAAAATACAAGCTGATCGAAGAGCATCACTCCCAACTGTGGTAAGGACAGACAGCGTTTCATGGATGCATGCATGTGACTTTGTTCAATGTATTTACACTGACGTAAACAGCAGACACACACTTTTCATTTCATTCAATTTCTTTAAAAATGTCTGACCACATCATATTTTGTTTTTAAACTTTAAAAAAATACTGCATCTTCTTATATTAAAATACTGCATCTTCTTATATTAAAATACTGCATCTTCTTATATTAATAAAAATAAAATAACTTGGAAAAAGTGTGTAAAAGTTATAGACAGTATATTTAAAGACCAAGGTTGATGCATAAAGACAGCATGACTGTATTTACAATATATTTTATGAGACAATGGCAGCAGATTAATGGTTGTATATACTCTCCCCCAGACATGGACAGCCCACATGTTGGTATGAGCACTATGTAGGTCTGTTATTGTGTTCAGTAATACGATGTCCTGACCTGTGATTCAACAACCAATTTCACATCAACAATGACAGCTGATCCACAACTATAACAACCCAGCACACACACACACACACACACACACACACACACACACAGATGGATGCAAAATGTGAACGTGTGCTCTGTATGCTATACGTGTGTTTGTGTGCATCTGAATTCAGAAACGCATGTTTTCTTTGCGTAGATTTAATCCATTTATCAATTTGAGTTGCCAAATGTAGAATGTAGATTACGCACACCTATGTCCTCATAAGAATTATAAAACATACTTTTCTTTTCTACTTCTTTTTGATTGTTGTTTGGTTCGCTTCTTTGTTAGTCAGCAGGATTCCGCAAAAATACAGAACAGATTTCCACAAAATTTGGTAGAAGAATGTGATATGTGTCAGGGAAGAACCCTTTAAAGTTTGATGCAAATCTAGATGAGAGGCAGATCCAGGAATGTTTTTCCCTTGTTGATGTTGGTGCTTTGACATTTTCACCAACTTTCCAGGGAATACTTCATGGATCTTAATGAAAAGAATCAGGGATTGAATGTAAGAGGACTATTGGGCCTTGGCGGAGGTATGCACTACTGAGTGCCTTTCTAGTTTTGGATATTTTGGGATTGTACTTGGAAGTGCAGCACTGTCATGAGCAACAAAAACACTGGTGGACTTTTGTGTTGCTCTACTGCACTTCATGAAAAAAACCACAGAGTTTTGTCTTGGTTCTCAGCTAAGCTTTAACTTTTGGATCCAGAGGGACACCACTACAGAGACATTAGTTTCACACTGATCAGGACAATTCAACAGTAAATCATTCATGAGCAGAACAGATCAGAATATTCACCTCCCAGCACCAGAAACACTTGAACCCCGACTGTTCCCTCAGCAACTCGGTTTTGCAACATAAAAGAGTAACAATCAGATTATTGCTGTTGTGTAAATTTAAATGAACTGGCCTCATTCGATACTATAATTAGGCGGATGCTTTGCTAACATGTTAATTAAGGATATTAGTGAGTGACTGATTAACCCCACTCACAGAAAGAGGCTCAGCGGAGTTTGTCTGCTCTCTTAAGCTCTCAATGCATTTTCTGCAATAATAGGAAACATGAAATGTGACATTATTGTTTTACTCCCAGCTACATTTGCATCAATGTGGTGTAAGACTGAGTTCTAATGGCACTTGTTCACCAACACTCTGTGTGATCCACAGTCACAGTTAGACGCCATGAAGTTGAGCAAGCTCCATGCAGCGACGATGGCACCCACTCCCAGCCACATCAAAACAAGAGAGGAGAAGGTGGAGGTCAGACCCCACCAGAGGGCTCGTCGTGCCTCTTCAGACGACAACAGCCGCCCAAAGACTGCCATCCCAGAGAACCGCATCACCACCATCCCGGAGCTCACAGAGTCATTCGAGAAGAGACTCTGTGTCCGTGATAAGAGGGCCGTGTCTCTGGTGAGCTGCAGCAGTCCTCTGAGCCCAGTGTGTTGTATAGATGATCCATTTAACAGCAGGTTAAATCAGGTTTGGTCTCTGTCTTTCACTAACAGGGCATTACGAAGCTCTTAAAGATTAAAGAGAGATTTAATAGGTGTATTACTTAATGTGTTGACAGGATCCTAATCAGTTTTCTCCTGCATAACATGGAACATAGCTCATAGAATGTCTAGATCAGCTGTTTTTGTATCATATATGCATTTAACGTACTGTGATCACCAGTTCGGTTTGTGATCTTAGTAGTTTACAATCTTATATTAGTTTTAACTATCTCAAAATGTTCAAAACTCAAGTTATGCATATGCTCTTAACCATCAAACTCAAATCTTTGGAGTAAATACACAGTGATCTGATGTATTACAATTCATTTTGAGTCTAAGGTCTTTTCTTTTACAGAATGGTGATGAGAGGTTGTGTCTGATCTGTCATGAGGACATGCGTAAGAACGGAGGCCTACAAGAGCTGCACTGTACACACCGCTTCCACAAAGAGGTAAACATCCTTTGAGTCTGATTGTGTGTCATGTGTTTCCCTCACCCTGACCTTCATTGCAGAGGCCTCGTCATTTATTCCCTCAAGTCCCAGCATGCCAGATATCAGATAACCCTGGTGCATGAAGGCCGCTCACTTCCTGGACACGCATGATGTGAAGTGGTATGAAGAGTGAACACTGGGCGTTCACCTGAATACAATCACTGGACAGCATGGGGCACAGTAACAGCTTATAGTGGTCACAGAATCAAAACTTACTGATTGCGATGTCTCTGTTTGGTGGGGGCCAAAGGCGGCTCGCAGGTTAGAGCAGTGTCGGCCCCACAGCAGCAGCAACGAGGCAGCAGCTTCTCAGGTGAGGAGACTCTCGGACGAGAGGAGGAAGTCGGCCGACGGCCCAATCTACATGGAGAGGGAGCAGCCGACGCTCCGTCGTCAACTTTCTCTGCGGAGACATCGCTGAAATTGTTCCGTGGAAGGAGGTGAAGAACAAGATGGAAGATGTGAACCCATGGCCCAAACATCAGGCTCATCTCCTGTACTTTTGCTACTGTATGGTGTGAGACTCTGGTGGTTCAGCTGATCAAGTCTCAGGGCCTTCACTGTGTCTGACCTGATCCTGTGAAGCTGCCCCATGGGACCCATTGCTGTTGTCATTACGACTCTTTCTCCTCAGTGTCAAAATCACAACTAGGAGGATTCAGAATATAGCATAAAAATAAAAAAACTAAACAATGTCTGAAAAAGCCCTGGATTGTTTTATTAGAAAAACTTAAGTAGGGGTTTATGAAATTATCAGTACTTGAAGTTTCCTGCTTGAATTAGCTTGAATAATTTGTATTACTTTAACACTGGCAAAGAATATGTGCCTCTGTATATTACATAAAAAGTATAAAATATTTGCTTCATTCATAGGTGATATAATTGTCCTATATGTTCCGTCATGACTCAGCTATGTGACAATCGATCTTTCTGTTTCAGTCTTCAGATGGTTTTATTACGACACAAGAAGGATATTTTTCAACTTAGCAGAACCCCATTCATTTCAATAGTGTTAGGAGTAAAAAATCTCCAAACTCCAAAAGTATCTAATTTGGCATATTCAGTAGATGTTTATGCACAATAGAGTCTGAGGACTTGTAGGAAGAAGTGTCATTTTTACTGCTGTGTATTTTTTGTTCAGTCATAATTCAAATGTTGTTTTCTGTGTTTAAAATTATAGTTTGGATTTTATCAGCTTTGGATTTTACCAGCTTTACAACTTTTTGACAATAGATTAAAAAACATGTGACACAGAGCCCTCACAGTTCAGGGTCAGGTCAGTGTCGAGCCTGCATGTCGTGCATGCGCTTACTGTAGGTCAGCACGTTGGAAATTACCTCCTGGCATCAGTGAGGGAAATCAATGCCTGTGTAAATCCTTATTATTCAGCTTGGGTGAAAATTAGTTTCATCTTTTAAATCTTTTAAAATGTGTTTCAGTGCATGGAGCAGTGGCTGTGGAAGAAACAGACGTGTCCTACATGTCGTGTCCATGTGTCAATTCCGCAGCCTCTCTACTGGTCATCGTCCCGCGCCAATGTCCCGTGACGGCCACTGCCATGGCGGCATGCCTGCATGTGACCCACTGACCCCATGACCACCACCACACCTCAGTCCTTCTGCTTAAACCTCTGGGATGAAAAACTGCATGAGGGATTCATAACATTAGTACTTTAGATGGAAACTTATTTCAGTCATTCTGCACTGGGCACTCTTTGAAAGTTAATATGAGATTAAAATATTGTAATTTGTGCTCACACTGTTTATGATATAAATGTGAGAGGT